CCTTTCTCGTAAGTCCAGTCCATAAAAGCTTAAAATTTAATCAAAGTTGGGTCGGTTAACATCAAAAGAGTCGTTTCATTTTTGCTTATTTTGCTCAGGGCTTTCTAGCTAATTTACCCATGCACTTAAGTAAATTCTATCTCTGATAACAGAAAACGCAGCTTTTTGAGCATCAATCGCTACAAAAACTATAATCCCTAAAAGCAACACTGATATAGTTTAAGCTCTTTATTATTTTTCTCTCGAAAAGAGCGAGTTCCTTGGAAAGCAGAACTCATGGTTCTTAATTTAAGCACTACTTGTATTGTTACAGCAATACTCAAATTTTCCCTCGCCGTTTTTTGTTGATCCACATTTGTAGATGCCTTCCGGCCAAAAACTGTTTCTTGTTGCCGTTTATCTTCTACATTTTTTCTTTAAAAATAATCGCGAGCAGTGACTACACGAAATTTCACAAAGTTGCGTCTCACTATATATGATTTTGTTAAGTAACTCCAATGCAGTTAGAGAGTGCGCTGGTTCAATGCCGTGATGAGACCTGGGCTAGTCATATCTATTTAACGCCACATGGCTTTCTTAGATTGAAGGTAATTATACTGCTTACAGGCAAGATACCGTTAGTAATTTGCATAAACGAGTATTTACACTTCAAAGAACTCAGCGATGATATTCCCAATCGATTTTTAACTGAGGGCGGTTAATAAATTTTTTTTATTAAATTTCGGCGAACAAGACGTCCGAGATTCGAGATTATCAGGTTCACTCTTTCGCGAGGAAGCTTTGGTCCTTGAGATTAATTTCAGTTGTTTTCACTGAAAGTAGAGTTTTATTTTCTTCGCTCGTGGCAATTAAGGGGCGATGGATTAAAAGCGCACGGATTATGAAAAAAATTCCCTGGTATCTCTACATAAAAAAGGTTTTCCTGCTTTAACCCAAACAAGCCACTTGTTTATGAAATTAAGCCGACAGCTCGCGATATCCTCGCCGGTTAATATTCTTATGTAAGGCAGTTTTCTCTTCTGCTGTCGGATAGTCCCGTCTCTCTAGTTCAGTCTTTGTCTTGAGCTGACTGGTTCGGCATTTATTGAACTAAAACAGGTTTGCGGAAAACACTTAATAACTTTATCTCTTTGAATGTGAGTACAGCTTCAAAAAGCCTATTCGGAGGCTGTTAAGCCGGCATAATAACAGTTTATGAGATGGTAACTTTCAAACGGAGTTTACTTCGTTTTTCCTAATTGGTTACTTTTATGTAGAACTGCCATCGATTTAAACTCACATTGCTAGATAGAAAATTGAAACTGCAGATACTTTCCTAATTGCAGCGCTACGTTTACTAAGCAGATATTTTAACAAAAACTATCGATTACCTTTCTTCACCGAGGAAAGGACCGATGATTTTAATCCAAGGATACAATCATTTTTTTGAGAAAAAAATTCAGTTCGCGGCACCGAAAATGACTTAACTTAAGCCGAAAAGAAGGTACAACAGATTTATATTAGAATTGTAAATGAGTTGCGTGTTGAAAGTTGCGATGACAGGTGTGTCGCGAAAGCAGTTTATCACTTTTGCAGACTTCTGCCCAGGCGAAAATGATTCAATTTAATTTCTTTCCTCAAAATTGAGCCGCCTTCTTTTCGATCTAATTCTCGCGGTGTGGCCAGAGGGAAAGAAATGAATATGATCCACTGTATGCTAACTTTGTAAACAGGAATTTAACACGCCAAATTTACTATAAAATTTGTAAATTGGAACGGTTGTTATGCAAGTGTCTTATTTGTACAGAGAACCTATTAGAGTTAACTGAAAAAGTGGGTTAGTTTTCCAATAGGCAGTGTTTTGATAATGCAAACAAAGGGCATGTACCTTTGATTAATTTTGCTTTATTAACCATGATAATACAATCATTTCAGCCGAACAAAAACATCTATGGCAGCTGGAAAATTTAAATTTGTCTTAAAAGAGTTTAGTTGATGTTAAATTGCGCCAAAGTAGCTAAATGGTCCGTACGTTTTCAAACTCTGTTACCATCAGCGTGTAATTAGTTCTCATTTTTCAATTTCTGAATTAAAACTAGCCGTCGGCAGGAAAAATTGAAATTTACTGGCGAATACTTTTAAGTGAAAGATGCCAAAATGGACCTCGAATTCGCTGCACGACGCTTCTGTATTGTTAAAAAGGCTTCCTTCCGATTTTTAAACTAGTTAATTTCGTGTCACAGTCCAGTGCAACTTCTTTCCAACTGTGTGTTTACACGATGTATCTTAGAACAACGCGACGCAAATTTTCCTTTGCGTGGGCAACGATACTTTCCACTTTTACGGAAGTTTAGTTTTTAATATGCACTGCACAATTCAACAATAACTATTTTGTCAAAAGAATCGTGTTTTGTTCAGGCGAAGAACATTATCAATTCTTATTCCGATGCGCTTGACGCTTCCAAAAATACACATCTCCTTAAAAAGGTGTCAAAAATAATTTTCCTAACGCATTTTCTCTAAGTCTCATTACTTGAATGCGGGCGGACGATTCGGAAGAGTTTCTTCCTAATTCATCGTTAAATCTTCTGCTAAGCGAAAGCACTTTGGAGTCCATTTTTCAAATCATTGCCTCTTTTCAAAGAAGTTCAGAGTCGATAAACAACTAAGTAGCATTTCATAAATTTTTACCCTGTGAGGGGTCTCGCAAACGAAGGGTTTCCTTGCAAATGTTTTTTTCAATAAGGAAAAATCTCTTGTTAAGTATATTCTCAGTTTAAATAACTTTAATTAGCATAGAAATTGGTCAAGCTGCGCTTCTGTTCCTTCCCTTATTATAATTTTAACATTTAAACGGGCACTTAAAGTACAGTCGATGTTTGATTTTTTATTCATCTCAACTGAATTAAGCGCGCGCGTCGTAAATAAAGTAAAATCCATTTCGTCAATTTTTCCTGAAAAGTTTTGGCGAAACTTTAAAATGCTCTTTTGCTATTCAAAAATGAAAAATAAGCTTTCAAAAGAAGCGCGACAGGATCTTTAACCAAGAGAAAAATGTGATACGATTCTTTACTTTTTGAATTTTTGCTGTCGCTGCTCGCCGAATGAGGTCGCTTTTGTATAATAGACACGTTGAAATTATATATTGCGAATTGAGCAATATGTCTGGTCTGATAAAAGACAGGAACTTGAAATGTTTAATTGTCAAATTAGAGAAGCGGCTCTGTTTTTAACTCACCGAAACATCTCCAAAGAACACTGGCTTAAGAAAAAAAAAAAGCAACAACTATGTATCATTTTGTGAATACTTTACTTTACAAAATTTCTGCCGACTTAAATTAAGTTAAAGATTGTAGGCCCCCGAGCACAATATGCCCGCGAGAGGCTTTGATCGTTTTGCGATCTCATATCCTGTTCTCTGACAAACTGAACTCTTCATTTAATAAATATTTAGAGACGGAAACTTCTACCAAACACCAGGGAACTAATTGATATAGAGAGTTTCGGTTTAACTGCCGGAAAACGCGACAAGATTTGGCTAATTGCTTTCGGCGGAGAAGCTAGCTAGAGCGCGTGAATTGGTAAAAATTAGATAGCAAGAACACCTCAAACAAAGTATTTTTTCACCAGTTTTGTTCATTAAAAATAACTTTGTTATCACTTCTTCAATACCATTTGCTTAGCATTTGTTTAGGGCGTTCAGTCGAGGTTTGTAGAACTTAAACGAATTATAAAGCCTTTTCTTTGCCACAAGAAGTTTTCTTGAAAAACCTAATTTGCGTTCCTTTTGGCTAAGTGTTTATTGTCCATACTTCGCTAAATTTGAAAATTAATTCTTCGGTAAGCAAATACCCGCTTGTAGTGTTGAATAATTTTTTTTGCCACTGAATCGCAAATGATGCGAAATAAGTCAATTTCCCTGAGGTGTTTTAACAAAGATTTTTTTTTATTAAACTTCAACTTTGTAGTCCGGATGTTTATGTGAATTGGAAAATATCACCGTGGACTGTTAGTTTAAGAAGCCAGCCAGCAGGTTCTATTGAAAATATCTAAATTGATCCTATTTTGTTTATGTTCTTTGCCAAAATTTGCGCCGGGAGAGAAGTCTTTATCAGGATTTATTGACTTCCACCCTGCTAACATGGAAACGAGATGTAACTGCTTAGTACGCATGCTCAATAGGTTCAAAATAAAAACCGACTGCTCTAGCTGTAAGGGTTAGTTTACTGTTCTTTCATCGGAGGGAAGCGTTGTATCTATTTCGAATCTACCGCATCTTTTGGTGAACGTAGTTCAACCTGCCACTTGAACCTCTGCAATTACTTCTTCTTGGCTGTGGAAGGACTATTTTTTATCGCCAACTAATCTTGTTCTACTACTGCAGTCGATAGACATCTCCGATCGACCTAAGTGGTTTACAAAGCTCTTCGTTTTATTAGCAATTTTCGATATTGGTAAACTTACTCGATCCGAGTGTGCAAATCAGGATTTTATTATCTGTGGCCCTGCAAGTGGCTGCTCAAACACCAAATCGGCCTCTCCCAGAAAATTGGAATTCACTAATGCCGGAAGATTCAGGAAAGATTGATATTTTGTCATTTCGAAAGCTTGCTTAGCTGAGAGAAGCTTAAACATTTTCAACGTGCGAAGCTGGGAGCCGTGTGACCGCAGACGATGTCTGGTTAACAAACTCATGCTGATGTACGAAGTAAACTTTTGTTGTGAGGTTTTGGTGTTTATTTGCTGTTAATATATTTTCTTAAAAGTGGCTAGCCTTACAAATTGTGGTCTTATTTGTCGAGAAAAGTGATAATTCAGTTGAAACCATTTAACAGCTGAAGTTTTGTACTTTGAAGTAGAATCTGTCTTTTTTTAAAAAAAACTATCCACTTGTTTAAGTCTGGAACATTAACCTTCCCAATTATTAAAACTAGGAAATCCACATATTTCCAACTCTGTTGTAGCTTCATACTTTGATATAAGAATGGTGTTATAAAATTTTTTATTTTGTAAATTGCTAGACAGCCCTCCCATGGAGAAGCTTAGTGGGCCGGCATATATTCCAAATCCATTGACGTCTCCTGCCCTTATGGTACTGGCATCAACTGCAGAGGCTGCTCGTTCCACTGCCTCTTCCCCTGGACCAATGAATGACTATCACGCAATCTACTCATCACCATCAAACCGCTATATTGATGGTGAAGCTGTGCACAGAATGGTATTGAATTCGACCCATTTCCAGCATCGGTCTTCTCATCTTGCTCTCTACCCTGGCTCAGAGCATTACACTGAAAGAATGCCTCACGAATTTGGACCACATTTTATTCAAATGCATCACCACTTAGGAGGAGGGCTTCTCCACAAAACAAGTGGGCCCACTGCTGTATTTAATGGCACTGGTGCTTTCCGCAGAGTTGTGCCACCCGAACATGCTTTCCCTTTTCATCATTTACAACATCCACGAAGCCTGTTGGAGCGAGAACACCATGTTGATAGCTTGTACAAGAGCTCTGAACTAGATAAAGAGGCAAACTTAGAAAGGAGTTTAAAGGACAGGATTTCTCCAAGAAAGCCTGATAAGGACGGTGAAACACGTCTGATTGGAGAGCAACCAAAAAGCCCCAGCCCAATAAGAAGGGCCAGCTTGCATGATGAGTCTGATAATAGTAATATCGAGACTGTAAACATCAAAAGAGAACACATTGATCAGATCGAGTGCTGCAAGGGTAGTGAAGCTGAAGATAATGATAGCAATGGGGAATTGCAATTGAAAGGTGGGTAAAAAAGATTTCCTACATAATTTTTTACAAGTACATCATAAAGAAATTAAATTTCATTGTGGTCTCTTCTATTTAGAAGGTGAGTTTACCTGTAGTTAATTTTTTGTCTGGTTTGTAAATTGTATTACTACAACATGAGGCATATTAAACTGTCTGGTTAGAGGCTAGCTTTGTTAAATCTGGTTATTGTGCAGTGACAGCCAAAAACTTCTAGAAGGTTTTGTTTTTGGTGTTTTTAATCGTGAGGTGTAAGGAAAATTCACAGCATTTTTGCTGTCGCAAAGTAGCCTTGCCAAAGGGTTTTAAAATTCATGATGAAAAGTGCTATAAATGCAGGTTATTTATTGATAAATTTGTGTAATACTGCCAGAAATTGCTGAGCCAAAACAGAAAATTAAAATAAGAATGACTTAATCCTGCATTAAATCCATTTCTTAGAAATCAATCCTGAAAGCATTTTTTGAACATTTTCAAACTGTTGTGATGTTAGCTGTTCATTTTATTTGTTCATTATTTTCTTTTAAAAAACTGGTGCTTATGAATGAAATGGAAAATTAAGAGGTGTTTGGGGACCTGCAGAAGGTAAAATATTCCTGCTTGGGTGCCAAAAATAAGAAAACATGTCAGCTTTTGCTGGTAATCAATTCATCTTCACCAAAAGTAATATATTTTGCAGCTTGCAGGGATCTGAAAAGTGATTCCTTATTAATTTGTAAATGCACTTTTCAAACTGCCTCCCAGATGTGTGGTAATTTGAATTTTGTTCAATTATTTCAATAGAGTTGATTCATAGAGTGTTGGTGTGAAGGGAAGCAGGTCGGGAAAAATGGTGTGATTAAATTTCCTGTGAAACTGGTGATTAAATTCGGCCCTTTCTTGCTTATTGTAAATATTGAGATATGTTTGAAATAGATGATTTGTAATATACTCCAACAAGACTCAAAAAGCAGATGGTCATTAGCATAACAATGCTAAATGCTTGTTAGTTCTTCTCGTTTCCATAGCATAGAAAAGGGCCCTCTTTTCATCCTCCTGTTTTATAGCAAATAAATTGTACTGTGTTATATTTTTTCAAGAGGACTCTAAAGAGGCAAACTAGCTTCTCAACAGAAAACTAAACTGTAAACCCCAAGTTTAACATCTCTAAGTTAAGTGGTTTTGTTTAACTGATAACATAAGTTTCATCTCCATTTGCAAGTTACACCTGCATGCTAAATAGTTATTCATGCTGTCTGTTCTATTGTGTTCCTTATTTTTCTTATTTAACTTGAAAGAAGTGCTAATTTTCCAGAGTCTTGTTGTTTCTAAAGTGTTAAGGATTATCAGATTTAAATGACTCTACAAAGTGTTTCGCCAGTACCCTTCTTGTTAACAGTTGTCCACAACCAATTCTTTGTGGAACATTTTATTTTTCATTTTAACTGAGAAATTTGAACTATTTGGTTAGATGCCAAGTCACCCGGTACTCTTTCATTTGTATTTTTTAATTTTGCATCTAGTTTAAATGAGTCTTTTTCTTGTTTAAATTTTTACTTAAACAGCCTCTTAAATTTTTCTTTTTTCATGTAGATGTATTAAATGAGAGCAGCTTCTATTCTATGTTTCAATTAATTAAAACATTTAATGTTTCTTCTAACAGCCAAAGACAATTGTTGTAGTCTTTTAGTTTAAGCCTGCTCTCTAGAAAATTCTATCTTAATTTTTTTATTGTGTACCCCACGGGATGTAAAACACTCGTCAGAATTCTCACCAAACTGACTGCATTTCTTAAAACTAATATTCCAGCCATTGTTTTTTTGTGGATTGATATTCTCAAAGAGTTTTTTCACATGTGTACACTTTGCAATAATGGGAATAATTTGTGATAATTACTAGGACAAGCAGAAGTTGCTCTTCAGTGTAAGCCGATCATCTTTTTACATTTCTAATCTTTTCATTTTTTGTTTTACCCTCGCCAAAGCTGTGTGCTCAAAATTGTTGTTTTGTATTACAGGGCAGGAGTAAAGCCCTGTTTGAGGGATAAAAGAAATTTTTGGTGAAAAGAAAATTAGTTTCCATAGCATCTCCTTTGACACAATGGTGTTCTGTATAATTACATACAGTTTATGATAAAACCAGAGAGAAGAAAATTTGTAAAATAAGATCTCCCAGGGAGAATACTACCCTTGTTATTAGCTTTTGCCATAAAATATACTCAAATATTAACATACACTGTTAGGCTGGGTCTTTACGATGTCAGCGAATATTGACTCTGTGATGTGAAAATAGGTGTTGAGTGACTGGTCTGTGCTTACAGAAGATGCCAAGTTCCTTCTTTCCTAGTGTTTGTTTGCAAAAGGAAGTTCTTAGACCATGTGGTTCTTGTCATGTAATAAATAATTTTTGTAGTCAAACTTGTTTTGGGCTCCTGTAGAAATAGACATTGTTAGTGCACTAAGTTTTCCTTTGACTTTCCTTCCCTTTGTACAAGGTAGGCTTCATAGTTGACATCCCTTGGTTACTGTTCTTCCTTCTTGAGAATGTTGTTTATATTAAGCTGCTCTGTTTTGTCAAGTGTTATGTTTCTGGGTTCATTATCTTCTGCTGTATATTTTCAACTTTCAGGATTTTGAATTTCTCACCAAGTTTTGCTCTCACTATTCCTATTCTAACCCTGCAAACCTAAGATGATGGAAATAAATTGAATGATCACCAATGTGAGAAGCTTTGATAGTCTAAAAAATTCTCCTTAGCAGTACCAAAGGAAATGTATAGAAAAGAGTATGAGAATACAGATCAGGGCTCGAAACTAACTTTTCAACTCACTAGCCAAGAGGCTGTTGACAACTTAGATGTTACAACAATTTCAGTTTGTTTACTAGCCAAACTGGCTAGTGAAAATCAAAAACCACCAGCCAAAACTGAATTTGTACTAGTCTGTGGCTAGTTGGCTACTGTTAAGTGTGGAGCCCTGCAGATACTAAAATGATAGGGAGTATAGCGTCAAAGTAACTCTGTGTTGTAGCATATTTGCAATGTGTCTAAGAAAACAGAAACATCAGCTTTCTATGTACTGCAATTTGAACATGTAGCAGCAAATGAGGAGAGTTTCTTCTGTTGTTGAGGTGAAAAGAAGTTTATTATGTGATTGTGGGGGGCTCTTCAGTGAGGCAACACATTAACAGAAAAAAGAAGAAAAAAAATTTTTTGGATTTTAAGACAGCACCCTTTCACACACTGTCCTTTTTTTTGCTGCTGTTGTGATCCTAGGAAGGCTGTTGTACAATGTTTGTCTCATTAGCCTAAATCAATCTCTACCAGACTACATGTAGGTGTTACTAGACTGGGATGTGATGGATAGCCAATGGAAGAATAGTCAATTAGCACATGTTTTTGCAGCTTTTACCCTCGTATTAGTAAGGAAGTTGTTGGTTAAATCAACACCTTTGCTAGAAAACAGTGTTTGTGCATGTGTACCTCGTGCAATTGCTAACATTTCATTATTCAGCTCTGTCAGTGGGCACTTAATTGAATTAGTAGGGTGTGGACATATGCAACTTGTAAGAAGTTTCTAAGACCACAAATAACAAAACTGAAAGCATCCGATTGGTTCAGAGGGTAGCACAAATTTTCTATATCACTTAGAACAGAGTGAATGAAAATGAATGTGATCCGTGATCACTTCCATTTCTCAATTGCCACTTTTCTTCTAACCAAGTTCATAAAAGATTTTTTTCTTTTTTTTTTAATCAACTTCAGGAAGACAGAGATCATCTTCAAGTCAAGCACCATGTTGTCCTGTGTGTGGCAACAGCATCAGACCAGGTGAAATGGAAAGTCACTTTGCTTGGGAAATGGAGAGATTCTGTGAAGAAAACAGGTCAGTTTGGGGATTGTAGTCAGTGCGCACCTCCTTACTATATCATCAAAGAGCAAAGGTGTATGAAGGAATTTCAACTTAAGATTACAAGCCATTTGCTGGGACTTGGCATACTGACTTTGAATAAAAGATGAAGTCTGTACCAGAGTGAAGTAGCTCATTCAGGTGGAGCTCGTCCTAGTTTCCATAGCATGAAGCAAGATAAAACTATTTTTTATGCTGGTATCTTGCTCAATACTAATGAAACATCATGTCTTTGACAATTTACTGAGCTATTAATTTTTTATAAGTTTTCCTTTACTTTTTAAATTACAATTTTCTTTTTTTTTTGTTTTTTTTGTTATACTGGTGTAATTTAGGGGGCACAATATTTAGTTTATCTAGACATACCCCTCTCCTCTCCTTCTTATCTACAATGTGACTTAATTGGTGTAATTTTGTATAATTGTAAGTTTTCTTTCCTTGAAAAGTTTATATCTTTTACTATAATTTTCACCTTGTATCTATTTCTGGTAAGGTTTGGAGAAATATATAGATCTATAAAACTAGTAATAGCCAGAGATTAGGGAGAAGTTTTCAACCATTTTGGCCAAGCAAGCACACCAACATGTGAGGCAAAACGTGAAACACAACTCCTGCTAGAAACAAAGCACATGGTTGATATAAATGACGTCATTCGCCCCTGAATAATTTTTTTGGGGGGACCAAATTGGTGTCCATGAATACACAGTCCAAAAAAGTTGATTTCAACTGCATTATGAACACGTTCCTTGTTGAATGCAAAAAAAAAATTACTACTTACCTCTGGGTGGGATGTCAGTCCATCACAAAGTTACCCTTCATCAGGATTCCCTGACATTTTACCAGTACCAATTTACACTCTTGGGTGGAGAGGGGCACTGTGAGGGTAAAGTGTTTTGTCCAAGAACACAACACAATGTTCCTGGCCAGGGCTCAAACCCAGACCTCCCAACCCAGAGTCCAGTGCAGTAACCATTAGGGGCCGACCATTTAACTTTTGGGGTGGGTGATTTGTGGTCATCAAGAAATTTTTTTCAAGCAATCTGCTGGGCAGGATATTTTTTTTCATTCTAGATGCTCTTTTTTTTTCTATTACATTTGGGCTGCATGCAATTTTTTTCTTCCAACAAGCACTTACAGGAAATTTTTTCTCAAAATCATTAAGGTATTCTGGAGAAGAAAAATGTTGAACATTTTTGTATACTTAGAGAGAGGGGTGCTCTTTTGGTGTTAAATTTGAAATCATTTGTTTTTTTGGACAGAAAACCAAGAAGAAGTCAAAGAGAATCTGCTTTGCAGGCAAGGAAGGTATGTGTGTACCACACCTCTTTGTACATGTAGCTGTCTTGTTTTTGGAATTCAGCAAGCACAAGTATTAGCTTGATAGTGAAAGGACTCGTGTTGAATTAATTTTTTTTTATAGAATGGAGATAATTTTCAAAAGAAAATTAAGCATGAGGGTAAGCGCGATCCCCACCATGGACATGATGACACACCAGCCAGCACAAGACAGCAGGTAATTGAAGCAACAGCTTATTGAACTGTCCTATTTTAAGCTGTCAGGTGACTGTTGTTGTGGAGATCAGTGACAAGGGACATCAGGTTAGCTACATTTAAGAGGCTGTTGCACTGCATGCTCCAAGAGTTGTTAACGGAAGTGATGCTGTGAAGATTATGATGCTTACAGTTACTGTTTGTAACAGAAAATTCTTTTCTTATCAACAGACATATTTGCGAGTGTGTGCCAACAGAATGGCAAGAAGTGGCCGCTCAAATTCTCTCAAACCTACAAGGTCCAGAAGTTCTCAAAGTATGCCATTTGTTAAAAATATCACAAATATTTGGGGTTCAACCTCCAATAAGGACAATCATCTAATTTTTCCTAACAGTATTACAACCAAATCAAACATTTAAGCCAGGAGAAGAAAGGAAATTATTATCAGCTTAAGAATTTTATAATTGTTGAACGTAGTCTCTTTGTCATGATCATAGAAAACATCTAGAGAACAGTTTGTAGAATGTGCATACTGCTGTTGGGGTGTAAAGGGTTCATTTTGATGGAAAGGCCAAATTTAGTTGTGTTAATATTCCTAGATAGTGAATTCAAGGGTTTCACTGGTGGTGGGTGTAATGTTCAAATAAACCAGAAGTTATTGATACTGGATGTTTGCCAGGAACTATGGGACGTCCAGGAGAAACCAGTAGGGCATCCACTGATGATCACATGAAACATGTCTGCTTTCAACTAAAATCACTGTTAATCCTACATATCCTTTATTGAAGTCTATCTGAAATATCACAGCAGGGTAGCTGGTAGACCTGTACCCACTTGTAGCCTTCACATAAATTTCTTTGCACTCCTAAAGTTCAAGTACTTCCCTTCAAATTTGTTAAAGTTAGTGGATCTTGAGAAATGAGAAAAAGAAATGTAATTGGAATAGACCTCAGGATGGGGAAAATGCAACTGCAAAAGTCTAAACTTTTTAAATTCCAAGGGAAGCCTGGAACTCCCTTGGAACAGGAGGCTCACCAGGCTTTCAAAATTACACATTTTTTGTTCTAAACCACCCATTTGTAAGATATTTTATTGTAACCACCACTTATTGTAGTGTAGATAGATGTATCCTGGTTCAGGGAAAACATAACAATAGACTGGCCTGATGGTGTTTTTGCCAGGATAGTTAAATTCAATCAGCCTGTAGTTATGAAACTTGTGTGTTTAATATTCAGGATTGGTGACTCAACCACTTTGATATGTTATTAAGGGTGGCCTTTGTGCAGTGTTATTCCATTTCCTAACCTACTATTTGCTCATTCCCACAGGCTCCCCAGTGAACTCACCTCTAGCTGGAGAGGAAGGACCCTCAGGAATCAAGACTACCATGTGTCCTGTGTGTGAAGAAGTCATTCATGGGAATGGAGATGAGTTAAATTCTCATGTGGAGGCTTGCTTGAGAAAGGTGAATGCCACTGTAACGGTAAATTATCAATGTTTGATGTTGAAATGAGGATGGGTGGCCTATCATGAGCCAGCATAAGCTGTAGCCTGTTGTTAGTGCTAGTTACCTCAGTCTTTTTTTAACCATTCAACTCCTAAGGGTGACTAACATTTAATTTCACCTTACAATATCACCCCCTGGATTATGCATTAAGGCATGAGAATCAAGGAAATAATCACCAACTATAGAAGCTCTTGATTATTTAAAAAATTCCCCATATCAGCACCCTAGGTAATGTATTGGGAACAGCATGGAGAATGTGTATACTGATGCTTGGGTGTAAAGAGTTAAGTGCCTCTCTTTAATCAGGGAAAAGGAATTATTCAAATACTGAATATGGACTTAAACCCTTCATAGAGAGAGTAGAAACACTCCGAAGTTGCCTTTGCAACAGAGGGTGGACACATTTACCTTTGCCATGCAGATTGATTTTTACCGATAAGTGTTGTAACTCCTTCTAATTAACCCTTTAATTCCTATGAGGGACCAAGACAGAATTTCTCCTTACATTATCAATACAATATTTAGCAGAACAGGGATGGGAATAAAGTTACATGTATTAGTTGATCCAAGACCAAATTCGCAGAAGTAACATCACAAGAATTGTATGAAGGCTGGAAGAAGAATTAGTAATGAGGTCTTGGGAGTGAAAAGGTTTTTTATTATAATTGTATTTCAATCTGCAGAAGGAAGGCAGGGCTGTTGATGACATTGATGAGGCTAATGGTCAGGATGTTTTTGAAGAATATGAGTGGGCTGGACAAACAAGAATAAGAGCTACAACTCTGTTGGAAGGTGGCTTTAGAGGTAGAGTTAATTCATTCCCAAAGGGGAGTGGGGTAATGATATGATTTGTTGTCCATATCATGGTTGAAGGAGGGGGGCTTTGGGATTTTCGGTTTTTCGGTTTTGACTGTTTTTTGGATCGGTTTTTCGGTTTTTGAGCCAAAAAGGTTCGATTTTTCAGTTTTGATGTTCAGAGCGGTTTGCGGATTTTACATGTTTTTGCATTCGGTTTTCGGTTTTCATGAAGACTCTGGTGTGGTTTTCAGTTTTTCCTTTTTGACCCCTTCAAAGGTGAAAATGTAGTGGTTTTGTCAGATTTGCATGCGGTTTCCAGTTTTGCTGCCTTTTTTGGACAGTTTTGAAGGTTTTGAAGGTTTTTTTTCTCCGATTTTGTGGTTTCCCAGAGGCCCCAATGCCCCCCTCTTGAAGGATAAATGTTGCAAAATTTTCAATTCTCTGTTTGCAATGAAGGAATTAACCTCCAACCTGAGTGAAACCACAAAATGCATTTTTGTTTTTGTAAGATAAGGAACGCACACAAGAAAATGGAAGAATGAACTAAATCAGAATGGGTTGATTGTTTAAGAAAATTGGTGTGCATCGTAAATGACAACCTTTGATATTTGACGAAAGTTTTTCAAAAGGCGCAAATGTTGATGTGCCTTGATTTTTTTTTTGGACTTAACAATGAAACACAAACTTTGTGGAATTTGTTAGGAAACAAGTTGTGTCATTTTTCATGCCATAAGTTGTTGTTACTTTTTCAGCCTCGGGCTTTCAGACTGGAATAAAACGTAAAAGGGAGGAGGAGGATGATGGAGACCTTGATATTGATGGAGATGATTCAGAAGAATATGGAAAACCTCAGTATCCTACAGAATGTTGATTTGTAAACTAGAGATGATACCTCCATGTGCGGGGGATACTAGGTTGCTTACTGGTTGTTTTATTTTCACTGTCATTTTGTACCCAGTTGTTTCTTACCCAGCTAGGTTGTTTTGTACCCAGCCAGTTGAGTTGTTTCATGTCCAGCTTGCTTTTTTATACCCAAACTAATAAAGCATGTTTTCCATGTTAACAATTGGAGAAAAAATATCACATTTACATAAGCTGTTATCATTTAAAAAGTCCCAAGTATCAACAGTGGAGTTTTCTATCAAAAATATCACACTTACCTTGCACCAGGTAATAATTGAGTTGTTTTTATTGAGAAGGTCACAAGTGTACGTAACAGATTTTGTTTGGATCTTACTCAACTAAATTGTTGTATGCAACTTGTTATATGAATCGATCAGAGGCTTGGGTAAGAATGACTGTATAAGGTTACAAAACAACAGGATACCATTAGGATTTTTGCATATTACAGGCAGCCTTACCTTTTTGCATATACAGTGTGTGTCCATAAGACAGCAATTTGTACAATTTTGTTTTCGAAGTAATCACTGTGAGCTTTCAATTGTAAGGGTATAGCATTAACTGCATGAATTAAGATGTTTTTCAACATACGATACAACTTATTGCATCATAAAGGAGAAAACTGCTGTTTTTGCCATTCCTTAATTCATTATCTCATAAAACAAGGTACTCAGAAGCAGATATAATTCCTTGTGGTGCTGGTGAACCCGATGAAGATAATGTCAGACAGGCTCTGAGAGGAGCAGTGATCAGGTTGGTTCTGTGTACATTTACTTGACAAATCTCATTGATAAATGAGTGAATTAATTGATGGACCCTCCTCTGCAATGGCAGATGAAACTAAGAAATTATTATAAGGGGAAATGAGTAGGTAAAAGAGCACAGGGTCCTAGTAGGACAGTATGTGAATGAAGATCAAAAATCACCACAAGTCCTTTTAATGCAGAAGAGACAATATTAAGTTGTCTTTATTTTCAGATTCTTTGATAACATTTTTTCTTGTGGGAACAATGTGGTGCTCATCAAAACTTTATAAAATGACCCATTTGTATTTAGTTTCTGGTTTGAAGTTCCAGTGTAGCTTTGACAGTAAACACAATGGTGAAATTACTACAGTTATTAATTATGGAAAGTGTACAACTAAAATTCACCTGAAAGAAGTTGTTTGTATTCCCTCTCGCTTGTTCTTAGATAATGCTTCTGATTAAAGTGCATTCTTGTTTGTATTTTTTCAGTGGTGAAAATTCTCCTGTAGAGAATAAAAGTCCAATAAGAGAACATTCCTCTGAGGATCAAACAGGTAAGGTTTCAACTCAGTCTAACTGATGTTTTTTTTTGAAAAGCATTACTACTCAGAGGTTTCCATAATAGCCAACTAATGGTGATCTTCTGCTGCCTAGAAGACCTCTTACTGCTGGTATCCTTTTGATTTGTACCCATGGTTGTTTTGTACCCACTCATTTTGTACCAAAATGCAGTTGATTCCTACCCAAGTTTGAGTCGGTTAGTACCCAAACCACTGGTCAATTTGTACATTTATTTGAAATACTCCATGTGCCAGCGCATGAACAGATGTCAATCATTGCTTACAAAAAGTTAGTAGAGTCAAACATGCAAGATACAAACAAAAATCTGTTTTGTATACTTGAGAGCTTCTTAACAAAAACAACTTAATTATTGAATAAAGGCTGATAGTTTCTGAAGAAACTGTTTGGTGCCGCATCGGTGGGGGTAACGAAATAATTTGAATATATCAGCAAAGTTGAAATGGTAAATTGGCGACCATTATGGTTATAAAAGCTGACGTTTTGAGCGATAGCCCTTCGTCGGAGCGAACTTAATTATTGCCTAGTGCAAGTTAAGTGCTTTTTGGCCACTGCCACTTACTGGAGGTGAAGCCACCTATGTTGTCGAGATGAGTGAGTGAGTGTAACAATAGTATTTTGCACTTGACCCAATTTTGACCTGATGTTTCCCAGTGCTACTTATTGTTTTTCAGAGTATCTTTTAACAATAACAGCCCATATGAATGTGGTATTTTTTCTCCGATTGTTAACATGGAAAACATAGTGAACTAGTTTGGGTACAAAATGACCGAGCAGGGTATGAAATAACTCAACTGACTGGGTATGAAACAACCTGTAACCTTACTGCCATCTGCCACAACCCATTACTGCTATTAGCCTGTAAGCAGGTTCTTGTGTTTGTGAATAAAGGCTGATAGTTTCTAAAGAAACTGTTTGGGGCTGCGTCGGTGGGGGTAACGAAATAATTTAGATATATCAACAAAGTTGAAATGGTAAATTGGCCACTGTAACGATTACAAAAGCTGACATTTCGAGCATTAGCCCTTCATCAGAGTGTTTGTGGTTTGCCTTACAGCTCCCTTTTTGGGCACAGTCACCTAGTATACCAATTACAGCAGCCACTTTTCAGAAACAGTCTTTCATTAAAAACCCTGTTATTGTATTTTGGGGTTGAGTTGTCAAAATTTCCCATTTTCAGCTCAACTGAGTCAGTTTTGTAGGTGAATGTGAGTAGTAAACATGTTTGCTTTTAATTTTACCAGAGGATAATTCCATGCAAACAAAAGCTGTTAAACGTGGTGAAGAAAAAGACAATGAGTAAGGATGCATTCTCATTTTTTTGTTAAATTGTTATGACTGATGTGAGTATTTTCAATCTATTAAGTGATAAACAAATCATTCTATCATCATCGTTAGGGCTCATTTATGTACATGTAAAGACAATTAACTAACAATAAATATGTTTTGGTTGCAGGGCAGGTAACCCAGACCTGGTTATCAGTTCTCTGAAGGTTCGCATAAAAGAATTGGTAGGTGCAGAAGTTTGAAGCTGGTACCAAAAATTAAAAGGATCGTTAGAAAGGTCAACTAACTGTGTCATCCCAAATTATTCATGAGAGATGTACAAGTGTCCAAACTTGCGATAAATACCAGGGCATGTGAAATCATTTTTATGACAAAGGAACCTAAGACCACAGTCATTGGCTATTGCTGTTGTGGTTGCCTGCCTGTTATTGTTATTGTAATTTATCCGTGTTCTATATTGTAGGTATTGTTGGCAAAGCTAAAAAAAAAATTAAATTAAATTAAGACAGAATTTGTAAACCATCAAGGAAATGGTGTTAATGATACAAAGGGTTGCCTAAAGAAATAAGATATTTGTTCAGATATTTAAGATAATTTATTTTCTCATTTTACCTTTTACTTTTATTCTGGCAGGAAATGAAGAAATTTGAGAAAATGAAGTGTTTAATATGCATGGTGGGTACTGAGTTTTTTTTGGATACAATGAAAATATATGAAGTTCATATATTTTGAACTGCGGTATTAGATACGTATGATGCAGGATCCTCGCAGTAGATAGCGCTATTTAAGCAATAGCGAAAATCAGACCTGAAAAAAATCAGGCCTGTANATTTTTTTCAGGTCTGATTTTCGCTATTGCTTAAATAGCGCTATCTACTGCGAGGATCGTGCATCATATGTATCTAATAACGCAGTTCAAAATATATGAACTTCATATATTTTCATTGTATCTGATTTATCACTTTCATGGGTTTATTACGAATCAACTTAACGGCCTGCTCCCAGTTGGCTTGTTAGCTCAATTGGTAGAGCGTTGCACTAGTATTGCAGAGGTCAGTGGTTTGAATCCCATACAGGCCTGATTTTTTTCAGGTCTGATTTTCGCTATTGCTTAAATAGTGCTATCTACTGTGAGGATCGTGCATCATATGAGTTTTTTTTGTTGTTGTTTTTCACATTGTAAGATTGTGTTGAGTTGCAATTTCCTCCTCAATTGAAATTTTCTTCTCCTTTGTTTTGAATGCATTGGCACATTGTAGAACATACCTTTTAGAAATGATTTGGATTTAAGGACAAAATTGTCTCTGCTTTGATTCAAGTATTTCTTAGGGATAAAATTTGCCAAGCCCCTTCAATTTTGCAGTCACCATAAATTGAGTCCTATGAGTGAACAATAGGTAGGGTTAATAGGTAGGGTTAATGGGTAGGGTTAATAGGTAGGGTTAATAGGTAGGGTTAACAATAGGTTACCATAAATTGAGTCCTATGAGTGAACAATAGGTAGGGACTCCTTACAGTATCTCTGGGTTAGTGCATGGGACTGTTAAGCTTGTGGTCTGGAGTTGAGCCTGTGGTGGGTATTTGTGTTGTAATCTTGGGAAAATATGTATTGCTCTCACTGTACCTCTCTCTACTCTCACTGTGCCTCTCTCTGCTCTCAGCGTGCCTCTCTCTGCTCTCACTGTGCCTCTCTCTGCTCTCGCTGTGCCTCTCTCTGCTCTCCCTGTGTCTCTCTCTGCTCTCACTGTGCCTCTCTCTGCTCTCACTGTGCCTCTTTGCTCTCTCTGTGCCTCTCTCTGCTCTCACTGTGCCTCTCTCTGCTCTCACTGTGCCTCTCTCTGCTCTCACTGTGCCTCTCTCTGCTCTCCCTGTGCCTCTCTCTGCTCTCCCTGTGCCTCTCTCTGCTCTCACTATGCCTCTCTCTGCTCTCGCTGTGCCTCTCTCTACTCTCACTGTGCCTCTCTCTCAGGAGTGTAACCATGAGGTCCAATTCCCTAGTGGATATGGATCCCCAGAGGTCCATATTCAGTGAAAACCACAAGTTTTGTAGGGGGGTTGAATTCAGCCAGAAGGGGGACCTTATCCACGAGCAGATTTGGACTGGGGATCCAAATCTGTTGTGAACCAGCATACTGGATGAGAGACCTGACTGAAAGTTTGGTTTAACCTTCATTAGAATACCACCCTGCCCAAGGGGAGTTACCATACCCCTGGGAAGTTTTGTACCCCCTGGGAAGTTTTGTACCCCTGGGAAGTTTTGTACCCCTGGGAAGTTTCATGCTCCAGAAAGTGGGATGAGCTGTAGTGGGATGGGACACCAGGCTCTAATGCTGTGGTTTTTACCACTCGCATTGTAGGGGAAAAAAATCATTGTAATGCATTTTGCAATGTCTTTCCTTGCAGGAACCCTACACAAATGCTTTGGCTTCCATATCTTGCTGGCATGTTCACTGTGAGGAGTGCTGGCTCAGAACACTGGTAAGGTAGACCTTCAGTGTGTCAAATGCAATTTCTTCTCTACTAATTCACTAAATCTGTCTTTATTTTCCTAAAGAGAATTTCGATTGACCGGTAAATCACTCACTGATTCTATGTTCTTTTTCTTTAGGGTGCTAAGAAGTTGTGTCCGCAATGCAACATGATTACATCGCCTTCTGACCTTAGGAGAATTTACTTATAAATGTCTTGCAATGTGTGCCATCCTTTTGGAAATGTGTGCTGTGCAAAACTGAAGTGGAGCAATTGGAAGTATCACAGGAAACAGCGGGATGGGGAACAGTCTGTACATTTTTCCTTCAAATTTTTCTTGAAAGTAACGAAGTGGCGTGTAGCTTCACTTGCGTGACTTCCTTAAAAGAGCGATAACAAAATAGCAATTGTAGCCTGGAGTTTTCCAAGCATGAAGGAATTCCCTAACTCCCATGAGTGACCAAGGCAGAATTTCTCCTTGCAATATCAATATAATATCGAGCAGATAAATGATGACAGTAAAGAAAAATGGTAATCAGGGGATCATAAGTTGATCCAATGCCAAATTCGCTGATCTAAGATCACAAGAATTGTATGGCAGACAGTAAAGAGAATTACTGATGAGACCTTGGGAGTGAAAGAGTCAAGGCAGTTCTTTTTACAAACGAATGGGTAAAAGCTTATTTTGTAGATAGTTGTTAAAAAGAAGAGTAAAACTGCCTAGTGAGGAACAAGGGTACTTTGTGTATCTCAACACTCCTTTCTTTTGTCTCTGCTTTGATTCAAGTATTTCTAAGGGATAAAATTTGTCAAACTCCTTCAGTTTTAAAGTTATCATAATCTGGAACAAAACTAGTGTGAAGAAATTTTTAGCCAATGTAAAATTTGGAACTAAATCGAACCAGACAAGATTTCTTTCCAAATGTCGTCCAGGAGAACAGTTCCAGTACGTGATGATAGCTCTTTTTATGTAACATGTTTAAAGTTTAAGTGGAGATCTGGTTCCTAACATCAGCGAATTCTAAACTGAAAAATACTGTTCTGAATCCTCTTTGCAGCCGTGCCCTGGGATGTTGCCGTTGCGTGACATTCATTCCCATTGCATGGCATTCTTTCCCGTTGCGTGACATGGCTAGTGGGTAGTTTTAGAGTTTTACCGCGCAAAATTTACAAGCAAAATTATGCGGATCTCAGCACCTGTTTTCACCACAATCATTTATACCATTTTGGTTAGTTGACCCGAATTTTCGTGTGCACATTCTGTATGGTTGAATTTATTGTCAACAGAAGTTATTTCTTAGTCCCACAAGATTTCTATAATGATGTAAATGAAATGAGTTAAATGTAATTTAATGTATTTAAAAGAGTGCTTCGAATATTGATAATGATATTTAAAGAACTAAAAATGTCAGAAACAAGAGTTGCATTAAATTTTTTGCAAGATTTTTATAATTTGCATCCATAAGAACTTTAGAGAGACAATCACAGAAAAGCTTCTGGAAAATGCAGGAGACATAAGTGAATATTTAAGTATTGTTTTGATGTAAGTGAATTAAAAAGTTATATCTTATTTGTGTGTGTTTTGGTTATTACTTTTATGGGTTTGCTGTCTTAACACAGACAATTTTTGTAGTGTTAAGCGGGAATCGACTTGAAGTTGAAACCTCCGATGGTAAACGCTCAAATGAGGCCCTAAGCCCCCTCTCCTGTAAATCTCCCTCTTCAATGGGCCCTAGGCCCCCTCTCTTTTATAAACCTCCCTGCCTTTTTTTCCAGTGCACCCTCTCCCTGGTGAGCACTCCCTTCTCTGAGAATTATACTCTCCCTGATGAGCCCCATCCCTATTTTCTACGACTTCCTTCACAGAAAGCCCTCCTCTGACAGCACGGGATATCAATGAGGGCTTATTAGCAAGAAAAAGAAAAAGTATTTAGCCTCTTCCTCCCTCCCCTCCCCTCCCCATCGTTCTTTCGAAAAAAGATTGCAATGTTTCCAAGCACGTGTGAAACTGCCAACTGCGCAGGCTATCCTGAACGTTTACACACATGACCCGCTAAAAGAGTTCTTCGTCAGAAAGAAAAAATGGGAAAACTATGTAAGCCAATTACAGATACCGTTAAACGGAAACTGCAACTCACTCTAAAGATTAAACATCAATCCATGGCTGTGAGATTGGAATCAAGTTTACTAGTTTTCAGGGATTGAGAATACATCATTCTACTTTGTTTACCAAAGCATTTGTTTAATTCTTTCTTACCTAACTATTACATTTCTGCTTTTTTAACGCTTAGAAGGAAACTTTCAATGCCGTGATAAGAAATCTCCCAGATTCCAGTGTAGTCTCCATTTCTCAATGTATCACGTATTATAAGTGATTAATACACGTGTTTCATTGTGTAGTTTGATTGTCCGGGTGAGAGTAGCGTGCGTTACATCATGTTTGTTTGGGTAGTTGAAATGAAAGCGCACAATTTGGAAGAATTCAAGGAGAATAACATCCCAGTAAAGAGTATATGATATATTTCGTACACGACATCCGTAAGAAAAAGACTGGGACAAGTCTACGGGTCATTTATATCCCGCGGGTTATGTGCAAAGTCGGACAAAGTCGTGGGCTTTGCATTCCATTGTTTCTATTTTGGTTTGGAATGGTGAAACTAACGCGCGGGATTTTTCGTAAGTCACGCTCAACAGTTGATCATCTTGGCCGACAGCAATAGTTAATTCTTCGGTTTTCATCATCTTGATATCGAAAGCATAGAGGAAAGTTCTGCTGAGGTAACTGCGGTTTAAAAATAGCTCGCTGCGAGTTTTGACAGACTGCAACATGATCTTAATTCCACACAAAACTGAGTGAAGCGCTGTGGCTGTTGAAACAGTTCGGTCGGCTTGCAGTCTTGACAAGTAATAGTCTGAATCTTTTCTTCTCATTTTTCGCTTGCATGCATGTTATTCTCTGTAAGGATAGCTCAATGAAAGTTTTACCGTCAAAAGTAGATATTACAGCGTCCAAAACTTAGCCCTAATTCCTTGCCACTCCGTGTGATGCTAGATCATAGAGAAAGGGATTAGTGTCAGAATTTTCATGAAGACTTAGATCGGTAGGTGTTCTTAATTTTCCTTCTGAATTTCATCTTATATGTTTTGGTTATGTAATGCAATCATGAGATTATATAGCCGTATTTTCTTAAGAATTCTTGTTACATGAGGATCGTAACTGTTAAATTTGTTTTTATTGCGCCGGGGGATCATAATCACTTTTGCCTTTTGATGGGGGCTTACGTCAAATGGGCATTTAATCCTTAGTGACCCATTGAAAGAGTTCTTGCATCACGTACGGACAGCAAACTGGGAGTTTATGTTTCTTTCCTGTATCTAAGAAATAATTTCAAATTCAGTTATCGAGGTCCATACCGCACCATCTGTTTGTAGGATACTTCACCCGATCGAAAAAAAAAATGCCCTCATGTCCTTAGTAAAGGTTGGACATATTGCTTAGTTTTCACTTGTGTCCCATGATTGGCGGGTGCCTTGTTATTGTTTATTAACCTCTTTACGCCCTAATATAAGTAGTTATATTCTCCATACTGTTCGCTATTCATTTTTAAAAGTGCTGACAAGGAGATTATTTTTAAAAAATGAGGTTCCTTATTGGTGATCATTTCCTCAAGTCTCATTAGCTAAATGTGTGATGCAGGGGTGATATTGTAAGGAGAAATTAGATGCTAATCACTCTGAAAGGTCAAAGTTTCACTAGTCTGTACACTAGTCAAATTTCTAATTAATATTCCAAGAATTTCCAAAACAGTTAATATTTAAGATTGAGTTCAATTTGTAATTGTTCATTTAGCAGGAACCACTTCTGAAAGTTGAAATGAACAGAATTAGAGGCTTTGGTTTCTAGAGGATATGAAAAGGGGCTAAAAAGTACCAAAGATAATGGTTGACCACCATTTTCCAACAAATCTCACATCACCATTCATGACAACGAAAGGAGATTTTCTAGATTCAGCTTCTAGTATCAGTGGCAATGAATCAGTTTTTCCTGCAAGTACATTATCACCTCGCAGTGACCTAGAATCTTCTTCTGACATGACTTCCTTATTGTTGACAACTGCTCCATCAACAAAGGGTACAAGTTTCTTAGATGAGAGTGGGTTTCATTTGCCAACGGGAAATTTAAATATAAGAGACACTGTTGACTTTGAAAAGTGGACAGAACATGATGATACACATCTCACAACCCAAGGAAAAACTGTCAGTACACCAAGATCCCAGACCCCAAGCCCAGGTATAAGCAAGATGCTACTGAGCTTATCTGACCATCCTGTAGAAAGACCATGTTCACCCAGTGCTTCGTCACTGTATAGAAACACCAAAACACACTGTAACCCTTCAGAGCTTGGACAACAGACTTATGATGAATGTATGGTAAGTTTAAGGTAATTTTGGTTTTATCAACTGAGTTGATAAACTAAATTGGCTACTGTAAAGAGTTACAGTTTCTTGTTTTCAACATTGGGCTTACCCCACAGTTACAATAATTAAATAAATAACATTGTATGAGTCTTGAATCCTTAAGTGGATTGTTTCGTGTCATTGACTGACTTCCTTAAAAGTATTGTTCTCAGTGACAGCTAGTGGCTGATGTTCCAAATATTGATGGGCCTGAAAATAGTTCTCATCTGAACCTTCCTCACCAGATTTTTGCATTAAACTTCTTCAGGATTCAAAGCATTTGCCATAACTTTTAAAAAAAAACCCTGCCCTGTTATTGATACTATGATTTCCAGTTGAGAAAGGTGAGTCAGAGGTTGTAAGACCACGTTTTGATGTTAAAAACTGTGTTTTTATCGTGCAAACTGGCTCTGTTTCCAGTGGGAACAAGCTTTCTTGTTTGATGATTGGTGTGTGTGATATGTGACTCTTGAGATTCAGTTAGCATTGGAATTGAGGAAGGTTGGTCGTGACAACTCCATTACCACACTAAACTTTTTTCACACATTACTCAACTGATATTTGTGGTATTGTAATTTGAAATCTGCTGTGCAAAGAGCAATTGTACTGTAGAGTTATGTCAAAGTCTTACCAACTCAGTCTCAGTTTCTGTAGATTATAGCTGAGCCTCTCCTGCTTCCTTTGCTGCTACAGGTAAGGAAAGTCTGATAATCTGCTTTTTTCCTCTCCTCTAGAAATTCACAAGATGGGCAAATGCATTTCTTCAGCACAGCCAAGACCAATTTTTAATCACTGATTTGGTGAGAGACTTAGGAGATGGCATTACCTTGTTTAGCCTGGTTGAAATGTTGGGTAGGTCTTCGATACTCTAATAAATAAATCTAAAGGTGGCAAAAATCCCTTTGTTTTCTCATTTCAAAGGTCTCAAAACTTGACTTGGTGTTCTAAAAACTCAGCATGATTAATTCTTGAATGGTTTTCAGTGTCTCAGAAATTGATTCTTGGATGCTAGAGGTCACCAAGAAAGGCAGATATAGGGTTGAGTTTTGAGATGTTGGGTTTCCAAGAGAATAAGTTCTTTTTTCCATGTTACATGTACTTCAACTGAAGGAAAAATCAACCCATGTACAGTGTATGTGACTTGCTGAGAGAATAAATTTATGGGTGAGAGGATTACTGTAAAGGGAGGTTGGTGGCCATTATCAGGACTCATTTCTAAATTGTTAGTTTAGTTTGTGAGGGAAAAGCCAGGGAAAAGCCAGGGAAAAGCCAGGTAAAAGTCAGGGAATTTAAAAAACCGTTGACAGTAACAACCATGTCATGGAGAAAAGTTTTTCAGAGCACCATCACTTGAACTACAATGACTATTCTTTATACATTTTGTGCCGCCTGTATAGACTTAAATCTTTTTCACCATTTCCTTCTCGTTATTACTTCTTTTTTTACTTTTTTCATGATGAACTTTGTCACAGTTGGAGAGTGTCCTCCTCAACTACATATAAAGCCAGCCCTAGATGTGCAGAAGATGGAGAATATTCAGACTTGTCTGGACTTTTTGGAGCATTATGGAGTTTCTGTTAATGGAATAACTGCAGATGGTAAGTTCAACATATTCAGTGCTAGAATATAAACAGTTTTCTAATGGCTTGATTGCATCCTTTGTGGAAAGTGCTGTTTCTGTTAGTAGTGAGGTTGAGTGGTTCTGTTACCTGAAAAGGGATTAAGCCCATGGCATTGAAAACCAACCAATCAGAGCAGACTATATTGTTTAAGAAGTTGCTAGGTGGCCAGTCCACCTTGTTGCCAAATAGGATCAGCATAATCTTCTTAAGACAATGCAATCTAACTTGAAAGTCAATATGTAGTCCTTACTGCAGCAAAAACTGTCAGTGGTGCTTTATTATAAATTTGTTGAATAACTAGTCCTTTCATGAATCTTTAGGTTTTGATGTTTTGATCCTTATCAACAGAGAGACCTTAGGTAGTTAGGTATTTTTCTATCTGTGTGGCAATTCCTAGATTCTTTTCTACACAAAAGTTATGTGGATATTTCTGTTCTTTTTTTTTTTCAGATATTGTGAGAGGAAATCTCAAAGTTGTGTTGGCTTTATGTCATAGTCTTTACAGACATGTTGGTTCTAGTGGAGGTACTTGTTGCTAATTTCCATGTACAAACTCTGATATTTAGGTGTAAAATTTACTCAGTATTTTACTAGCTCCCAACCAATGAACATGCTGAAATGTTTGCATGCTTATTGTTATTAATACTAACCACTCAGCGGCTGCATTTTTTTGTAGTAAGTGATCCTCAAATAACTCATCAGGTGGACAATGATGAATTGTCACTGTTTAGCTGGGTGTCAAAGGTTACTGGCAAAGATGTTGTTGATTATCAGAGGTGAGCACACCAATAACATTTTAGACCCAATTCTTTTCCCTTAACCCTTTACATTTTTTCCCATCTCATTAGTAATTCTCCTTACTGTCTGCTATACTTTTCTTATAGTTCCAGTTTGGAGAATTTGGTATTAGATCAACTAATAATCCCCTAATCAATATTTTTCTTTATTATGTGGCTGTGTCTCACAACTACCGAATTCACGAATTTGATTGGCTGAAATCAATATTGAAAGCGGTCTAGATTTTCCCATCTAGACCAGCATCTAGACCGGTCTAGAAAGAAAAGGTACAAAGAATATAAAAAATTAGCATATAAGACACAGCCATGTAATAAACATCTTATTAACCAAGCAAGGTCAGTCTGTATGGGAGAATCATGACCTCGGTCGCTGGTACAGACCTCAACGGTGTTCGGTCTGTACTGGCGACCTCAGTCAAGATTCTCCCATACAGACCTCCCGCTCAGTTAATAAGAACTAATTATTTCCATCAGTTATCTACTTTGTTTTGTACTGATGTTGAAAGGAGAGATTCTGTCTTGGTCACTCATGAGAGTCACATGTTAACATCAGTATGCATATTCTCCATACCATTCTACAAACATTTCCTGAGGAGAATATGTTTAACAATCAGGAGCTGCTCTAGTTTATAAATATTTCTTTTCTTCTCCTGACCTTAATGTGTGATTCAGGGGTGATATGGCAAGGAGAAATTAGATTCTGGTCAATATTAGCGGTCAGAGGGTTTAAGGAACTTGGTTACTACTAATTCTTAGGTAAAATCTGTGGGAAATAAGACAATAATGTGCTCCAGCATTTAAAAAAAATTTTTACTTTCAGAGCATTGCAATGCTATCTTTACAAATTAAAGATTGGAAACAAGCTATTTAAGTTGCACAATGGCTCTGTCTTTCATTGCAGTTTTCAAGATGGTACAATTTTATGTTTGCTATTAAACAAGACTATTGAAGGAGTTATTCCTAGCTTGGTAAGTGCAGGAGAAAGGAATGCAGGGCTTGAAATGAAAATTCTGATTGGCCAAAGAACTCAGCGATTGCCCTTTGCAGTGGCCCGGAATTATAAACTTAATATAAAAAAAATCGTCCAAATTTTCTCAAACGTTTATTTTACCGATAACTTATTTCATGCATCTTTGGCTAGAAAATAATGAGAAGAGAAGATGGTGTAACGCTGAAATACTGCGTGATCCTGCCCCCTTCCCCTCTCTCCTAAAAGAGGTACATCAGCTTTACTGGCATCTTAAAAACCTGTGGAGCGTAATTTTTTTCAATTTCAATTCCCTTAAGTTTTTGTCAGCAATGTAAGTGTTTGCCATTTACAACCATTACTTATTCTTAGCAATATGTTTGCCTATATGTATCCTACCGAAAAATTTGTCTTTGGAGTTTCCTTAAATTAGAGACGATTTTCTGCGTCGCAAAAGCGACGTATTATAGTGTGTCACATAGTTTTCTATTTTTTTTTTTTTTTTTTTGCAGGTTTTAGAATTTGGCTCAGCATCTGAAAAACTGTGCCTTGCTTTGAAAGTTTCTGCTGAACAACTACTTGTGGAACCCAGACTAAAGGCAGAGAGCATCATGGATCTAAGACATCGAGAACATTTCATGGAGTATTTGAAATTGTTGTATAGAGTTTATATAAACAAATCAAAGAAGGCGTTTGATGCATTTGAGCAGAGAAACACAAGAAGAGAGCTTAAAAGGCAGTTGGTTAGAGAACAAAAACTTCGCTCTGAGAGGTATGGCTCTGATTTGACTTATCTTGGGGAACTTAGCCAAGATAAATCCCGTATTGCTCGAGAGAAGCTACAGATTTCTCTTGCTAACACCTCGAGGGGTTTGTCAAGCAATGAAAGTTTAGTAAGCCAAAGAAGACTGAAGGGCCATGAAAGCGGTGATTTGAGTCCTTTAACAAATGGTTCCCAGAACTTATGTAGAAGTGGAGTTCTAAACAACACCAAACGGAAACTGGATGATTTGAAAAAAGAACTGGAACTTTTGAAGGTTGAACTAAGAGAGGATACAGATGAAAAGTACAGCGACAAAAGTTACTTAAGGTCAAATTATCCTTCCCGTGATTATTTCACGAGTGGACTTAGAGAACCGATTTCGCGAAGAAAACAAGCGAGCACCAGACTGGAACTTAGACACGTTTTTCGTGGACAAGGAGGTACATCTATGGATGAGAAAACTCTAAAAAATGGTCATAACAGCCACGTAGCTGTAGAAAGAACTAAAAATGTCTATGATACTGATTCTGGTAGTAGTAAACACCTCTTTACTGCTTGTTACCTTGGAGACATTCCAAGAAGCTTTGATGATTCATGTTCACGAGTAGGACTTGGTCATAGAAATGATGGAATGAGTGTTACACTCAAAGAAACGATTGAACAACCTACATCCTCCATTCATAAAGTAACAAGCACCTTTCCTCGCGAGGACCCTGACTCTAAATCAGTGTTTCCTTCACAGCCAAGTAGTAGATCATTGTGTCATGATAAACCCCATACTGTAGGAACTAAAGAAATTAGTAACTTGTTCGATGTCGACTTTGGTAATGCGGGTGAGGATACGGGTGGCGATCGGGAAACATCTGTTTTCAACAGGATGCTTAGAGCTGGAAGTGATGCGAAATTAGAAGGAAGTAATTTACGCTATGATCTGGATAGTCATACTGTTCGTTCCTTGAGTCAAGGCAGTTATAAACCCGGCGCGCAAGCGAAAGCGTCTGTGGCGAACCCTTATAGGATGCAGGAAAGAGAAAAGGTTTTGGATAAATCGTTTGGCCTATCTCTTTCAACTAAGCCAGTTAGAAACGCAGAAAAAGTAAATACGATGGAGAAGCCTTCTATTGATGCGGCTACGAATGGCCCCACCATAAAACCAAGGACTCTTTCAAAAAACAAGCGCCACAGTGGACAAGTAGTGCCCAAAAATCCAGCCAAAAGCAACAAGACACCATCAACTAAATCACATCTGCATGCACTTACTGCGCTCATACGTATGAGCGCTAAAAATGCAAGCGCTATGTTTGAAGAAGAACCTCAGTGAACCGTTTCGATATTTAGTATTTATTATCTTATCATTTATTGTAATGAATATTAATAATTTCCCTTATGGTTTCCCTTATATTTTTTGGATCAATGTCAGTTTCTAAGTAACTGCGCACCTACCCATTCCTTACCCTTCCACTAACCCAACATTTGAGATCAGCTTTTTAATGTCACTACCACTGGACTGTACTAAACGCGGTCGTTTTTCTTTTATATAAAGAGATAAACTCTTGTGCTGAATTTGTTTCTTTTCGTAGGAAATAATCTCATTTTAATGATAGATTCGTTAGCTTTGTAAAGTCTGAGAAAGATCTTCTAAAATTAAAAAAAATTGCCTCGTTCAGTTATAGGTCAGACTGCTAACTTGCCCGGTAATTTTGCCTTAAAGTGGGTTACCTGCCATTCAGAGAGCAACATCGAGGTACCCCTTCCCACTTCGGTGATCACCATGAAACCATGTGGTGGAAGAGCGGCGGAATTAGAAAAAATACTCAAACTATCAAAGTGTGATTTCAGCGAAATTTATGAAATTAGTCTCTGAAACGTATGCGAATACTTAGATTTTGGCATCAATTTGAACATAGATGTTATTGAAATGAGAGCTTAGCGACGTTTGAAAAACTACTCTCGCGAAGTGATGTATGCAGTCCTATTGTAGTATTAACGGGCATGTTTAGAGAACGATATTTGCTAAAACATCAGGTGAAAGGTTCGAGATATTTTGATTAAAGAAATGAGCTCATCACTTTTTGTGCGCAGCGAGTCACTCTCCTTGTCAGTCGGATCAAAGTTCCCATCGACGGTACCTTTTCTTCAAATAGAGGATATTACACGGCCGCTTGGGGATACGAATTTTATCTTCTCGTGCTGAAGGTATCTCTCACGAGTGAGCGCAGCGAACGAGTGAGAGATACTTTCAGCACGAGAAGATAAAATTCGTATCCCCAAGCGGCCATGTAATGTTCTGTTTATTATATGGATACTGATGAAATTTCCACATAAAAGACAACTTTTTTTATTCATTTTCGCGCGCGCCTGAGCGAGAAGCTCTATTGTAATTGGGTAATTATGTTGGTAACCATG